TAGAGCGCGACGAAACGAGTCCGTAGACACGTAGTGGACTCGAATCGGACTTGTAATGAAGAGGATACAAGCAAATTAAGTTGAGGGGCAGTTTGGTAATTTGGCAAACCGGATTTTAAAAAAAATCTGATTCTTCTCTCCTCCTTCTTCTCCACGCGACCAGCCACCTCCAAACCACCATAACCACCAGCACAACCCAGACCAACACACCAGACCGACCCAGATCGGAGCACCACCGCCTCCGCACCTCACCCCAGCCCTTCCCGACGCCAACCGCCGCACCGTTCGCCGGAAAATCGCGGAGGAAGTCGCGATTTTTAACAGAAACTTCGCCGGCGATTTCTCTCTCATCCGGCCACCAAATCATTCGAGTAAGGTATGGTTTTTGGACTATTTTTCGAGCTCTAGCTGCTGGTTGGGTAGGATTATAGAGATTTTGAGGTTTGATTGGTTAAATTTCGAGTTGAAATTCTGCCAGTTTTGTGTCGCTGTTTTCAGCCACTTTCGGCCACCTTTTTGCCATAGTCCAAGAACAAAAATGGTTCCAAATAGGGTGTATTACCTAGGATAGGAGTTTGGGAAGGCAGTTTGGAGATTTTCCGGTCGCCGGAAATTATTATGCACACCCACGAGCTGTCGGCGCGTGGGCCAGGTAGCAGGGGCCACTCTTGGTCCCAGAATGATCCTCGTGTCCTCATGAGCGCGTAGGAGTTTACGGATCTCAATTCGGATAACGTTTGAACCCCGAACGGATCTCGCATAGTGTGCGATTTTCGGGTTCAATATGTTTGGACCGTTAGATCGTAGTCAAACTGGAGTATGTTGATCTAGGTATTTTAAGGATTTGTAGGATTCGACGGATCGTAAATCGGAGTCCCGAATGCTCCGGAAAAGCCAACCCGAGGGCTAGGTTTACAGAAAATCGCTCATCCGTCCGATCGTGCGATCGTGAGCAATCCGACCGTTCGATCGAGACCAAACTTTCGGGACATGTGTCCTAGGCTTGTAGTCTTTTAAGTTTTATAGCACGTACAAACCTATAATCCTTCCTAGCTTTCAACAAATTGAATAGATATGGAGAAAGGTTCATTTAAGTCAGCTTTCCTCATTGTGCTCTTTCTTGTTTCATATGATGGTAAAATACTTCTCTCAATTTTTATTTTTGTAACAATGAAAGAGAAATTTATTCTTGACATACTATAATCCTAACGTTAAACCTAACAACCTAGACTAACCCGAAGGGCTGACTTCTTTGAACAATACAACTGCATACATGAATTTTTTTTTTCCTCCCACGTGGTTAACTTCACTTATTTTTAAAATGTGGATTTGTCGTTGATACATCGTTAAAATTATATACTTTGACTTAACAATTGTTGATATTTTCAGCCATAAACTCGAGTTTAAGTATATATTTTTGTAACGTCAACTTATGCATAAAGCAGTATGTTCACAATGAAGAGAAAAACCAGTTTTTATGAATTATTGAAATCTTAATTGTGGTAGGTGTGCAATTTGGAGTTGAAGCAAGGGGTCCAATTGTTCGTTATCCGTGCCAAACATCTATTGTATGCGTCAAATGCTCATGCGTCGAGGGTTGGTGTAAGTTTCCACCAAATAAAATATTGAAGTTCATTCCTCAAGACTTCTCTACACACCCGCAAGCACAGAAGGAAATTCCATAATCAATGCTACATTATACATACAATATATATCATATACTTAAGATGTGCTCCAAAAATCCTATGTTCTCCCAATATGTTCTTTAAATGTTTGAATGAATAATAAATAACATCATCTTCTTACTTATAGTTTGATTGGTTTGAATTTCTTGTCATAATACTATGACGATAAAAGTGTGGTACACGAGCAAAAAATGAAGTGATTCTAAATTACCCAACACAACAAAAAAAAGTAATTGAAATAGTGTAACACCTAACAATTTTCGCTAATTAGGTGCCAACATGAATTTCTAAAATTTGTAACAAATAGCCTTCTATTCTCAAATGGTTGTAGTAAATATAGTAAATATAAGTGGTGGTTCTAATTGACCTCTTTTAGGCCTAGTTTGGAATTGCTACCGCTTTAAAAGAAAGCCGCTTCTGTTGTCCTTTAAAAATAATGAGTTGTAAAATAAAGCAGTTAAACGTTTGGTAAACTGTAATTTTAAAAGTGCTATGACTATGAAAAGTAGTGTCAGAGCGTTTGGTAAATTTTACCATAAAAGTGCTGTAACTATTTATAACACTACTACAAAAAACGAAATAGACGACGGGGATCCACCGTTGTTGTAATGCTTTGAAAACCGTCGTTAAATCGACCGCCGTCTATTTGGGTGTCAAACTACGACGGCTTTTCACCGTCGTTGTTTATCTGTAAAGACGATGGTTTTTAAAGAAAATTGTCGTTGTTTAAAGGTAAAGATCGTTAATTATATGATGAAAGACGACGGTTTTAAAAACCGTCGTGTATTGTATGTAAAGATGACGGTTTTTTATGAAAACTGTCATCTTTACATAGAATAGATGATCCTTTTTTTAAAAAAAAAACAGTCATCTTTACTTCACAATAGACGACTATTTTTAAAAAAAACCGTCATCTTTACATATAATAGATGACCCTTTTTTAAAAAAAACCTTCATCTTTACATATAATAGACCCTTTCAAAAAAAACGTCATCTTTACCTATAATAGACGACCTTTTTTATAAAAACTGTCGTTAATTATCTGTAAAGATCATGATTTATTATAAAAACCGTCGTCTAATAAGTTCCCAAATTGCTACATTTTAGTTCTTTTTGATTTCCTATGATGCTATACAACGATTTTAACTAGAAAACCAACCATAATGCTTTATTAATGAATATATACACTCAAAAATAGTTTCTTTCATAAAACTTGAAGATTCAATAGTTATTACATAGTTAACCAATCTTTATTCTACAACAAACATAATTCCTAACAAGACCTACGTACTCCTAATCCAAGCCTTCCTCATCCAAACATACAAATGATGCACAACTGAAGTCTCCTCCATTATCCCTGTAAATAAATCAAAATGACAAAGAGAGAAAAAAAAAAGCTAAGATTATAAACATAAAAAATTAGGTAGAAGAGAAATTTTACCATTGGACCATATTTCCATAGAAAACTTGTAAAATGAGAATAAAAAAGACCATCGAGAACCTGCAAAAGGAAAAATATAGAAAAAATATATAAATAAAATGATAGTGAAACGAGAAGGTAACAAATTTTCAACAACAACAAAACATACGACTCACATAGAAAACCTGCAAAAGAAAAAGTTATAAATCTGCAAGCTTCCTCCTCATCTCCTGATAATCAAATCAGAAAATCTAAAAAGAAACCATAAATATATAATAAAAAAATATGTAAACAAACCAGACAAATCAAGAGAGACAGAAAATTTGAAATCAGGGAGACAAAGAACATACTTGAAACGCAAAGAGACTAATCTAGAATTCACTAGCAAGATATAGAAGGGTATTGAGAGATTAGGTGACTTTCAAATCAAACCTTTCAACCAGCTTTGATTCTCAAATACAGAACCTCCCTCTACATCTTATGGATCTGCGAAAATCTCTCAACTCTTTCATTGATATTGATTTTTTGATGATTTTGTAGAGAGTTTCATGAGGGTGTTTTAGAGAGTACAGGAGGGTTTCAAGGAGGGAGATATAAGGTTTTCAGAGACGGGGGAAAATCTGAAAATTTGTCGAGTGCGAATTCACTTAAGTAGCCTTTTTTTGTCGGTTTGTTCAATTAACGACGTATAATATTATTTTACCATGTTATGAAGTTAAAAGTACCATTGTATTTATTCACTTTATACGTCTGACCTTATTTGTAAACCGACATTTTAATTTTTGTTGCTTTTTAAGATTTATTTCTTGGATTTTTGTAGCCTATGATGGTAGATCAACAGAATGACAAGAATTGAGAAAAACCACGACGGTTTATATAGAAAACCGTCGTCACAAGGTGTCACAAGGAAATTAAAGTGAGATCCCAAGAGATACAAAATCTTTCCAGTGGGATCTATGTTCCTTATCATAATCGAACCACCAATGTGAGAAAGACAATATTTTAGACGTTGAGGATGGATGTATCTTTGTGTCTTTGAGATACACAAAGACACATACACATCAACATTCAAACTATTTGCCTCTAAATCCAAATTAAAGACGCAAGACAATTTTTCAAAAAGAAAATTCAAAAATTTGAGAAAGACAATATTTTCGGAAAGAAATTTTGAGATTTTTGAAAATTAACGATGTGTGTGTTTTGGTGTCTTTGAGATACACCAAAACACAAACATCGTTACCATCCAAATTATTGCCCCCAGAGAGGGGAGAGAGAGTTGGAAC